TATTTTTAATCATGACTATATCCAGAGACTTACTTTTATACGCACCAAATAATAAATTTTATTTAACTCTTACAGTTAGGAACTCTGTTAGCACTGTATTAGTCAGTCAGCCAAGTACAATCGGGATGAGTAGCTACTATTTTGTAATATGCCTTTAAAAGTGATTTGAATGCAAAACGAAAACAAAAAATTCGGCTTAATTTTTTTTTAATGACCTTGTTGAAATTTTTATACAGAAAATGTTCTATTAAATAATACATGTAGTATTATTTAATGAAACATTTTCAGTAGTGTAATATTATTCATTACACTTACATAAAACGTGTTGATATTTAAATAATGCATTATTTACGGATTAAAAACGTAAACAATTTCGCTTTTGATATTATATTTAAACGCCTCTTCTACTAAATTCATCTGAAATCTTCTACAACAAGGGAGCAACGTTTCCCCAAATTATACCTCTGACCATAGTTCCTCTCGAAATCTCAGATTAATGAACAAAGTTTGGGAAAGCAGGAGCATTCTTCGGCAAAATACCATCGATGAATTCTCTCGCGAGATCGAGCGTGATTTTGGGCACTGGTGACCACCGAATTTGCATGATGATTTCCCTTTGACAGCAAGGGGCTGAACATCTTCGGAATTTCAATAAGTTTTAATCTCTCTTTCTCCACTACCGTCTCGCTTTACACTCCCTTTTCCCCACTTTCAACTGACCTAATATCTCCAACAACCCCTTTGTCTTTGTCTCGGTATAATTGAGTACATATCATCGATTTCGAATTAATTCAATTATGTTCTTATTTATTTTCCAAAGTGCTATGATGACCATTATAGTAATTTAATTTCAAAATCGATAATTATCGAGGATGATAATAGAAGCGTCCATCCCATTTAGATGAGGATTGATATTCATTGGATGATTAGTATATGAATCCGTGATTTAAATATTTATTCCGGGGTGAAAGTTTGTCCAGAATCGCCATTTGTCACTTTAGTATTAGCGAAGGGGATGTTTGATTAGATTGTATTTGACTAGTTTGCCAAACTTAAATCCGTTAAGTTTTCCTGGAAGTGGACGAGTAAAAAGAAAATTAATAGTGCCAAGCGAATATACGAATGATTCGAATATTCTCATTAAGTATAAGACTCTTACCGAAAATTTTCCTCAAAGTGAAATTCATATTCTAGAACTGATGCAACCAAAACTAATCCTCACAATATTTGACTCATCAATGCACTTAAATGCTCTCCAAAAAGTTATCAGTACACTTAAATACACTCTAAATAGATAAATTTGTATGCTAAACCAAAAAGGATTCTAAAAAATGTTTTACTAGTGCCTCACCAAAAATGATCCTAAAAATGTCAGATGACTAAGTAAAATATTTTTGATTGTACTATCAGAGAAACTAAAAATATCCTTCCGAATGTTGGATTGTTATCAATGATTTTTCCTCAAAGTGAAATTCTCATTCTAGTACTGATGTAATCAGAGCTAATCCTCACAATACTTAACTCATCAATGCACTTAAGTGCTCCCCAAAAAGTTATCAATACACTTAAATGCACTCTAAATAATTACATTTGTATGCTTAACCAAAAAGGATCTTAAAAATGTTTTACTAATGCCTCACCAAAAATGATCCTAAAGATGTCAGATGACTAAGTAGAATGTTTTCGATTGTTCTAGCGGAGTAACTAAAAATATCCTTCCGAATGTTGGATTGTTACCAATGATTTTTCCTCAAAGTGAAATTCTCATTCTAGTACTGATGTAATCGGACCTAATTCTCACAATACTTGACTCATCAATGCACTTAAATGCTCACCAAAAAGTTAAACTCTTGTCAATACACTTAAATGCACTCTAAGTAGCTAAATTTGTGTTAATGCTAAAACAAATGTGATCCTAAAAATGTCAGATAGCTAAGTAGAATGCTTAGGCTCGTACCAGCTGAGTAACTAAGAATATCCTTCCGAGCATTGGATTATTACCAATGATTTTTCTTCAAAGTGAAATTATCATTCTACAACTGTAATCAGATTTAATTACTATATTAGACTCATTAATGCACTTAAATGCTTTCCAGAAAGTAAAGCTCTTGTCAATGCACTTAAATGCACTCTAAGTAGCTAAATTAGGGTTAATGCTGCACCAAAATTGATTCTTGAAATGTTGAATAGTTAAATAGAGTGTTATAAGTTAGACTTGTACCAGCTGACTAAAAATACACTTCCGAACATTGGATTGTTACCAATGATTAAAAAAAACACGCTACTCAAAGTATTAGACTTAATAAATGTTGTAAATATTTTTTTACGCTTCTAAATGCTTTTCATCACTGAAACCAAAATTACACCTTTAAATATTGGACTCCTACCAATTACTTAATTAAAAAAATAATAACAACCCTCAAAAATGTGATTAATACTGTATTCAACCTGACAAATACTTTAAATGAATGTACTTTAAACATATGTCAAAAAGTTGTGAATTATTTTAAACGATTGTTATTTTGTCGAAAATAAGTTCGTAAGTTTAAAAAAAATCGTGCATGCAATTCAAAAGAAAAGATAAATTAAAAATTTATGTAAGTCACAAAGGTATTATTTTTCTATAAATTTTTTTGCATCCCTAATTTAAAGGTATTTACCTGTACCGTTATTAATACGTTTTTGAATTTGTTTGTTTTTTAAATTAAGACATTTAGAGGATTGTTTTTCTTATTATTATAGTTGGAATAAAGCAATTCTACGTTATATTTTCAGATAAAGTTATTTAAGTAGGTGTCGAATCTTATTAACCATTTTACAATTATTATTCTTTGGATTAAACTACATTATACTATTAGGAGTTACGGTTAAAGAGATTCGTTAAATGATTTAGAACTTAACTTTTAGCTTCATACACCTAGTGATAAATGCAAAAATTGTATTTGAAATATGCATCAGTTCGTTTGGTAAGCAAAAATATTAAATTTCAGTTGTGAACTCGCCAAATTTGTTATTACAATATACACTTTTAATTTTAAGCGTTACTTCAAAAAATGATTACTCCAAAAAATGATTTCTTCAAAATATTATTACTTCAAAAAATGATTTCTTCAAAAAATGATTACTTCGAAAAATTATTACTTCAAAAAAAATGATTATTTCAAAAAATGATTACTTCACAAAATGATTACTTCAAAAAATGATTACTTAGAAAAATGATTTATGTTCATTAATAGATCTTAATAGCTTTATAAGGGAGGGAAATATTTGGACATTGAAAGGGGAGAGACAAGACTTTTTTTAAGTACATATATTTTTAGTTGAATAATTTCAATTGTTTCCACTTTCAATAATTTCAAAGCCAAGAAACAGCAATTATTACGAAGTAATCATTGGGGTTGGTGAGCGTCAGCGTGCCTCCTATTATAATATAGTATTGCTGTCATATATTTCATCTGAAGGAAAATATAAATTAAATCATGCTTCACTACAAACCATTAAAATCCAGTTTTAGATGAAAAGTTATTGGAATTCCTTACTCAATGTATATTTTCCATACTCAATAATCAAAATAGTTATATTTTTATTTATTTAACGGTTTAAACTTAGTTTTTTTTTAATAAAAGCTGTGAAAGAATTATTATTTGTTCTGAATTGTTGCCAACACTTGTAAATAAAAGAGTGCATGAAAAAAAATTATTATTGTTTCCGTGGTTGCAGCATTATTGTTAGAGTTCAATACAAGTTTTAAAAAAAATATGCAAATGCCTAACTGTTTGTATAAGTTTTCATTCTTTTCAATTTCATTCGAATTCTACATAGAGCTTGAAAAAATTTTCTAAACGAAGAAAAATTACATAAGTTTCACCTAGTTACACACAACATATTGAAAATAATTTGAATATAAATTTCAACATTCGAACAAGTTATTTAAGAATCTACGTATTTTACCGTAGCTCCCAACCCTTCAATCTTCTTTTTCTTCTTTTCTTCTATGTGGTCCTTATAAAATGCAAGTCGTATAAGAAAAAGGGAAAAACATACATTTGTAATTGGCTTAGCTATTATGCAGAAAAGTCTTTGTGTTTCTTTTTTCCCTACTTTTTCCCTAAAAGCAGCATCATTTCTTCTTGAACGATATATAAGACTTGAGACAAAACTCTCCAAACTTGAAAGAAAGTAGTAAAACAATGCTTAAAAAAACATTACTCCGTGGGTAGCCGATCGAATTTTTTTTTCTTATATTTTTAACCGCTTTTAATTTTTTTCTTCTTTTTTTCCCTAATTTCGTGCTTTGATACAAGAGAATTTTCCCAAACCAGCATTCTATGTAAATGAGTTGTTTTGGGTGAATATGTAATGAATGCAAATCAAGCAGGCAGTCTAGATTGCAAAAGATTCTATTCCACCGACCCCCACCCCCTCTAACTTTCCAATCATCGGCAGTTGAATGCTTCGTTACGCTCCCGACACACATCAGTAACGATTACAAGCGCTAGGTGATCATCGCAAATTAATCACAACAAACTATGTTTAGAAAGAAGCAGACGATCTTTTGTGGCTCCTGCATACAGTTGGCAACACGAAGAAAACTTTTCCTTTGATGTTGCCATTAAAGCGGAAAAATTTAATGAACGAAGAGTAAAAACTAAAACAAAAAATGATTCTAAATGATTTGAAAAGCTAGTTGAGAATTTGAGAAACGAATGAAAAGTTTTCAGTAGCTGATGAAAATGAAATGCTTTTGATTGTCTTATTAGCCAGAAAAATATCGTTTTTCTCTAGAAAGCTCCTAATTTTAATCACTCATTTTACTTACCTGCCCTTTATTAAAATAATATTCTTTTTCTTAAATTTTTTAAGTTAGTTAGATCAAATTATTTCCCGCATATTTCAGATTGCTTTTCAAATTAAAATAGTTGATTGTTTATGAAATGCTTTTGAAGTTTTTTTTACTTTGAGTTAACTGGAAATTATAATCTGATTTTCTTTTCTTACAGGTTCATTACGCCAGTTTTGATTGTTGAAGAGCTTTGTGTTCTAATGATCGTTTGAAGATCTTTTGTGGAATTATTTTTTATTAAAATATAATCAATGCATTTCTTTATTTATAACACGCATTCACAATGTTTAATCCAAAATCTTCTTTAAATTAAATTTTACTGTGTTTTTAATATGTGGCTTTTAATTCAAAGTTCATTCAAAATAAAATGTATGGATATTTTATGCATAAAACTAGCAGGAAAATGTGGGCATGAAACTATTGAGATGTTACGCTTATGCATACTAAATTTCTAATTATACACTTTAAATATTGTTAATTTGACTATCTAGTGCTTAGAAATATTACTTTTAAATTCGGTTTAACAGTTTCCTTTGTTACAATACTGAAAAAATATCATTTCGTCCGTTTATAATTTGACATGCAACTTTCTTTACAGGTTGTTAAATACCTTTTCAATTTAATAAAAATATCATTCAAATGAAAGAGAAATCTGTTTTAATTAATTGAAACATTATTTAGTTCTTTTTTATGTTAATGCAGTAAATGGAATGTCATTTCAATTTATTTTAATCGTTATGATGAATGCTAATTTACTAAATTCAAATAAAAAGTAAAATTTAGAAACTAATAATTTGAATTGTCTTTTAATTACATTATCAATAAAAAATTTATTATTATTCAGCTAAGTTATTTTCATTTTTTTAACATTGTAATTCAATGGATTTATCATCATTTTTTCAACACTTGAGGGTTTTATTCCTTGCTTGTTCACTCACAAGTTATATTAATAATTTCCGAGATGGTAAAGTGATTGATATAAAATTTGGTATAGAGATGAGTTAATAAAGAGGTTCAAAATAACTGCTCAACAGTTAAAAAATCATGCGCATTGTTTATGCGCAACAACCATCAGAATTGGAAGTTATGAAATTGGTAATACATTGTATTACATTGGTATTACATTGGTATTGCTTGCACTTGTATTGCTAGCACTTTAAAAAAATCAAATGTATCGAAGAAATATTAAACTTTTTAAAGAGTACTAATTTGACAAGATTTTTCTAACAACATAAAAATTTTATTCAATGAATAATTTTGATATTTTGCATGGATTTTTTTAATCAAAATTGTGTAGCGTTGTAATATCTTTTAAAATATTAAATAGATAAAAAAATGTTCAAATAAGGATATGGTATACTTTATTCTACGTGTGAATAAAACAAAACAAAGTAAATGAAACACAAATAAAAATGTACGTACTATAGTTTCGGTTCTATAAACAAGTACCGTCCTCATTGTATGAATACAAAATGACAGGAAAGTTACAAGCACGTTACAATAGAGATGTTTAATCTGACATCACTTCACTCACCTGTGTAATGAAAATCCATAAATTATTAATCAGTTGCCGGTTCCCACAACCTGGAAAAAATAAATGAGGGGTTGCCAAGAGTTTTCAAGACTACTAAAATATGCTTTAATTTATCTTTCATTTGTGAATTACGAAAATATGCCAGATTTATTTTTGCATCCATATATATTTCCTTTCTAAATTAGATGTTTATTAATAGCTTAAAACATCTAGATATATCACAACTTTGCTACCGCTTTAAGAAAATTTCTAGACTGTAGGAACCTCGTAGTAGCATCCAATAGGAATACGTTTCTATTGATACAAGAATAAGAATCATCCAATTGGCATAGTGAAAACATGATTGGCTATTCACAATCACAAAATTACGATAATTAATTAAATTGCAGTAGTCAAGTGAAATAGTTCAGCCTCTAGCTTGGAAACCTCTATAAGAAAAGATGTAGTCACACTAGGGTGAAAGGAACCAACTTGAACAAGGTAATATTAGAAGTGATAAGAAGCAGGTGTGAGGAGTTGAGGGGAAATACTTAAGTGTAAAATACAGAAATTAAATTCCAATAGATTTTCAAACATTAGGAAAGAAAGGGATACTAGAAAGATCAATAACTAAGTTATCAGAATTTTACAAAATAGGGAGTGATTCCCAGAAGTCATGGTCGATAGATGAATAGCTGTCTTTAATGATTTTAGCAGAAGAGAGCTCTAATTTATTATTAGAATTCTAACAACGTAAAGCGATGGAATATAGTTTTAAAAGCACTTTTCATTTTCACATAAGGTTGGTTTTTCTCCAAACCGACATTTTGTGCCATTTTCATCATTAGTAAAGAGCTCTCTGGCAAAACATTTAAAACTTGACAGTTTTAATTACAGTTTAAAATACACAGCAGTTATAAAATGTAACGTATTATAGGCTAAAAAGCGTAATTTTATATGACAACACAATCTTGGAAAACAAATTCAATGGTTTCAAGGTAGGTGAATCTCAAAACATTTCTTTCAGTTTGAATTTTACTTTCTTTTCTTACATAAGCAGACCTGCCACCTTGTACGCATTTTGCGTAAAATTTTATTTTTATATTTAAAGTGGTAGTAAATGTATGCTTTTTCTTACTTTTATAAACTTAATTTTTACTGATTTTGACCACCACTACTCTTAAAAAAATTAAGCATAATATTTGATACTATCGTGGTTGCAGAGATGCTAACTGCTCCAAACAAGCCAAAATAATTTTTAAAAAAGGCAGTAAGTAACTACAAAGAAAATTTTGCAAATATTTGTCTAGTTTTGCTTGCTTTTTAAAAGGTATAGCATTACATAAGCACTATAAAATGGTAAATTATATAAGTCTGCGAATTATTTAGAAATAGTGGTGGATTAAAATCTTCTTCTTCTTCTCATTGGCACGACAGCCCAGAATGGCCTTCTGGGCTGTCGCCTTCTCAACAAGCCTATGCCAAGACAATCTTCCCTTAGCCAAGGTTCTCCAGTTAATTATCTTTAAAATTTGTAGGTCCTTTTCAAGGCAGTCTAAAAATCTTAGGTTTGGTCATCCTCTTTTTCTTGTACCTGTTGGCCTGGCACAGAAAACTTTTTTGGTTGTCCTGCTATCCTCCATTCTTATAATGTGGCCTGCCCATTTAATCGTTTGAATTTTGATAAATTTAATGACATCAAGTTCTTTATATGCTTTGTAGAGTTCCGCATTTGATCTTCTAAACCAGGTACCGTTTTTACTTATTCCACCAAAAATGCTTCGCAGTATTTTTCCCTCAAAACTAGCTATCATATTTTCATCTCCACGGGTCATTGTCCAGGTCTCACATGCGTATGTAAGCACTGATCGTATAAGACATTTATAGAGTAACACTTTTGTTTTTCTTTTTATTAGGCTTGACTTAAGATATTTTCTTAGGCCATAAAAATACTTATTGGCCATCGTGATTCTCGTGTGTATTTCTTGTGTAGTGTCATTTTTGTTGTTAATCTTAGACCCCAAATAGGTGAAGCTATCAACGGCTTCGAATTTGTATGCTCCAATTTCAAACTGTGTTTCTTTATAGCCAGCTTTTGTGCAGGGCATATATTTAGTTTTATTTTCATTGATTCTTAATCCCATCTTAATGGCTTCCTTCTCCAGACATAAAAAGGATTGTGTTAGTGCTGTCTGCGTTCTAGCGATAATATCTAAATCATCAGCAAAAGCCAATATTTGAACTGATTTGTTGAAGATATTTCCTCGGGTGTTGATGTTTGAGTCCCTTACTATTTTTTCTAATGCTAGATTAAAGAGNTGCTACCTCTCCTCCCCTCCAGCAAAGATATTATCTCAATATACATTTTACTTATCTTCTTCTTAAGGACTTAGAAAAAGTTTCCCACCCTGGAAAACTAAAGTTTCACGGAGGCCTCATCACAAAAACAGCTGAGCAAGGGTAAAAGAGTTTTCTGTTCTTTCCACCCACCCCCCTCAAATATCTCCTATAAGCCCCCTTCCCCTTCGAATATTTTTGATTGATGTTCAGATAAATAATATAATAATGATCCGGCGTTACCGCTCCGCTGGCTAGGAGACATATTAAATTCAGATGTGAACTGCTAGAATTTCAAATGTGGCAGTTTCTTCCGATCTCTTCCCTTTTTTTATAGATGTATACGTATATAGATATATAAATACATTTTTTTTTTCTTTCTTTTCTCCACGTTTGGTCTGTTCCGGTTTTTAAGGGTTGCTAAGATTAAAGGTTTAAAGAACGGTGTTCAGCAAAAGAGAAACATCGCCAAGTCTGATGCTTATCTATAAGTTTATAATTAAACTATGTATTGAGGCTTACCTGCCAACTTTTACGCATTTGGTGTAAATTTTACTTCTATATTTAAAGTCGTAGTAAAATGTTTGCTTTCCATGCGTTCCTTGCATTTATAAACTTAATTTATAATTTTTTTTTTACCACCACTTAGTTTTAAAAAAAAATAAACATATATAAAAATATGCATTACTTTTGCGGAGATGCTACGAGCGGTAGTTTACCGGGACGACCGGGTCGTCATTGTATCAGAGGATACACTAATAGATATAAAAATTTATGCGACTTGTAAATATTGTAAATACATTATTATCTTCTTATTTCACCATGTTATTACATATCTTGTACATATTTTTAATTTATTGTTCTTTAACATGCCATTGACTATAGGGACTTCCCTGAAATATGACCTCATAGACAACTAACCAATGTTAGTAAATTCCATTTTTCCTTTTCTTTCCTGAGCTAAAGCCACTAGTCACAGTCGCCTTAGGGCCAATAAATAGATGAAGAAGTGAGGTGCCCGCATTCGCGGGCAGGTACTTCGATAAAACACCTATCCAGTCCAGTCCAGTTGCGGAGATGCTAACTTGCTCCGGACAGCAAATATATAATTTAAAGTGGTAGTTTATCAATTACGATTCTCTGTTTAATAAATTCAATTTAGTAGATTTTTATCCACCACTATTTCGAAATAATTCGTATTCTTATATAATTCACCACTTTATTGTACTTATGTAATGCTATACCTTTATAAATTTAGTTTGTAGTTATTTACCTTTTTTTTTTTAATTATTTAGGCGCGTCCGGAGCAGTTGGCATCTTTGCTTTTGAGGCACACCTTATATCTCATTCAAAATACAGCGTGTGTTACAGCCTAAAATTGTAATTTAAATTCCATTTTACTGCCACTGGGGAAGAGCATTATCGAAAGGATTAAAAGTTGGCAGCTATGATTCAGATATACTTAAGTCTAAAATTGTTCA